TCATGGCGGCCCCGGCGACGCTGTTGGTGCGGCTCTGCCCGGCGCCCAGCGCCGCCGAGAAGGCGCTGCTCAAGCTCCAGAGCTACTTCCAGTCAGCGAAGCGGTCGGGGGGCGGCGAGTGCGAGGTGCGGCCTGGCCCCGAGCTCGGCACCTACTGGGTGCACTTCCAGCAGGAGCGAGGTAGGGGGGGACGGAGGGGGAGAGGGGCTGGGGCGGGGGGCCCCGGGCGGCCGAGGGGGCGGCGGAGCCCTGGGCGGCTGAGGGGGAGAGGGGGCGGCAGAGCCCCGGCCTCCCCCGGGGAAGGGGGGGGGCAGTTGGGCCGCAGGTCCCTCAGGCGTTGGGAATGGGTGTGGGTGTCGGGAAATGGCCGTCGAGCGGTCAAAGGGCAGGTGGTCTGTGCGGCCGCTTGTGGCCGTGGAGTTTTCAGGTGACTTTTATCAGCTGTATCTCTGCCTGTCCCCAAATCGCTGCAGATAAGAGGAGTGTGGAATCCCGCAGGGATCACATGTTGGAAATGGGTGGCCAGCGCCTGAGTGTCATCATCCAGGGGGGAGAAGGGGAGCCGGGGAGGAGCCCGGTCCCAGCGCAGGCCTCGGCCAGCTCTCCCCCACCTCAGCGGGCAGCCGGAGGCCACGGGGACGAGGCGGCAGGAGAAGTCATCACCAAAAAGGTACTTCAGAAAGAGCGGTGTCACGACCTGCCCTGCTTGTAGATCCATGGTGTCATGACCTGCCCTGCTTGTAGATCCATGAGCCCTTTGTGCTGCTTCAGTATTTCGTGCCAAGCAGATTTCGGTGAGATTGTCATAGTAAAACGGAGGCAGGGAGCAACTTTTGAGTGCTGGGTCACACATCAGCCAGGCATGTTCACAGGCAGCATGTTGTCTAGCGTGGTGTTGGCACGTGCTGGGGACACACACTGTCCCCAGAGAGGCACCAGGGCAGGCTTCAGCAGCTCTACCGTGAGGACAGGCTGAGAGAGCTGGGGTTGTTCAGCCCGGAGAAGAGAAAGCTCCTGGGAGACCTTATAGCCCCTTCCAGTACCTAAAGGGCACCTATGAGAAAGCTGAAGAGGGACTTTTTACAAGGGCGTGTAGTAATAGGACAAGGGTTGATGGTTCTAAACTGAAAGAAGGGAGATTTAGGTTAGATATCAGGAAGAAATTATTTTTCTGTGAGGGTGGTGAGGCACTGGAACAAGTTGCCCAAAGAAGCTGTGGATGCCCCATCCCTGGAGGTGTTCAAGGCCAGGCTGGATGGGGCTTTGAGCAACCTGGTCTGGTGGGAGGTGTCCCTGCCCATGGCAGGGAGGCTGGAACTCGATGATCTTTAAGGTCTCTTCCAACCCAAACCATTCTGTGATTTGAGGATAGTATGCACTGAGGACTGCTCCCAAAAGGTGGAAGAATTTTGTGAGACTGGGATCCCTTCCTGGTACACAGACCTCTAATACTATTTCAGCATGTTTTGCACCTTCAAACAGCCCTAATTACTTCCATCCCTCACCTCAGTGTTAAAAAAAAGTCTGCTTTGATGGGATGTAGCACAGCAAACATTATTTCAGACACTTTGAACATTACTTTGAACTAAAAGTTATGCAGTAAAGAAAAGATCAGCTGTGTGTTAGGGACATGGGGTAGGGCCAGGCTATACATTACATGATGTGGATGTGGCTCTACTGGGACACTGATATCTGGCCCAGAGGGTTTACCCTCTTTTGTGTAGTACCATAGATGTAGCTTTTGAGGTACAGCATGTGTCAACGTCATGGTTATCTGAAATCTGTAGCAGTATGCTGCAAATTTCCCTATCCTCCTCTCTCTGCCAAGTAGAGATGTGAAAATGTTGTTATTTTTCAGAATCCTGTTTTCTGCCTTACCCCTGAGTTACTAAAGCATGACTTTGGGGAGTTTTTTTAAGAAAGATAGTAAGAGAAAACTAGAAAGTCTAATATAGTTAAAGAACCACGTGATAAAACTTATACGTGCTGGTAAAACATGTTGTGTCTCTGTCACCTGATGCTAAGGGGACAGAGAGGTTCATTGAGGATCCTTGGCAGAATGATGATGGCACTAAGTTGCAGTTACAATTAAAGCTTTATTTTTTTTTTAACAGGATTTTATGATTAGCAAAGCATAGAATTAATGATCTGAATAGGACAGAATTTCTACAAGCAGAATCAGTGAAGCGCAGTTTTGTAAGTAGCGTAGCACTGAACTTTATAGCATGGCTTAGCTTGTGGTTTCTCTGCAGATCGTTTCAAAACTTAATACTTGGCTTGCTGAATTGATACAACAATCATTATCTAGACTCCAAAAAACACACAAAAGAATAGGAGTTGTTCACTCAGTCCTTGGAGGAAGCAGAGGTCAGGGGATCACGGGTCTCACTGTCCAGCAGCAGTTGTGGGCCAAGTTCCCTCTTAGGGCTTGTAACTGCTGGATTTTGCAGACAGTGCTCTGCATGTTGTTCCACTTTCCTGTCATCCATCACCGCTTGGTTGGCTCGCTGCCTGGAACCTTCAAGGCCAGTAAGGAGGGGAGTAGTCAGGCTGGTGCCCAGGAACCTTGAGAACGATAGGGAGGGGAAGAAGAAATCTGTTTGCTTCGTCTGCTTGGTGCACAGGACCTTCAGGGCCTGATAATGAGGGGGAAAGAGGCAAATATGTGACCAGCTCAGGCACAGGGAATGGCCATTAGCCCTCTAAAATGGCGTTAGTTATGCTAACCACATTAGCAGGGGTCAGGAGCAGGGAGTACTGGTTACGGTCTCAAACAGCCCAGAGAAGCTGTGGATGCTCCATCCCTGGAGGTGTTCAAGGCCAGGGTGGGTAGGGCTGTGAGCAACCTGCTCTAGTGGGAGGTGTCCCTGCCCAGGGCAGGGGGGTTAGAACTCAATGATCTTTAAGGTCCTTTTCAACCCGAACCATTCTATGAATCTAAATGTGTCCATAGTAATCTGGCCCTACTGAGACGTGTAGAGCTTTTCCTTACTCCAAATACAGAAGCAGCAAGCAGACAACCTTAGGAAAAACAAAGACTGATATCTTCTCATCTTCTCCTTAGATATTTCTTACAGTATCTGCAACTTTGAATACCAGTATGTTCACTGAAGAGCAAAGGGATAAAATTGCCATTATATGTCCAAATTTAAAAAGAGAAGGAAATCCTAATATTGATGGCTGCGAGAAATTGACGGGAGATTTTACAGATATTGAAAAAGCTTACCACTACTTTAAGGATATCCTTGCAGGCAGTGACAGAAACGGTAACTTTTCACATTCTGGAAGTAAGAAGCATTTGGAAGATGAAAATGGTCTGAATAGTGAAGAAACGAATGAGCTTACAGTTCCGTCGGCTCATTATGAGTATTTCAATCATACCTGCAAAGAACAAATCAAAGCAGTACAGGAAGATTTAGGAGTGCGTATAAGAAGTAAAGATCTTTACAATGGACACACATCAGTTTGCTTCACTTCTGATGAAAGTCCTGCATCAATACAAGAAGCTGAAGATTTTTTTATCAGAACTTTTCAGAGAAGCGTAGAACATCTGACACAGGAAAAAATTCCTGTAAGAAACAGTTCCACATTAAAAGAAACAATAATGCAATTAAATGCTAGGTTTAGTGGTCTTCTTGCCAAAGAGGAAGGGAATCAATTGCTACTCCGTGGCCCTGCGAGTGAGATTTCAGCTGCCAAAGAATTTCTAGCAGAGGGTGAGAACAGCCGAACTGAAAAGAATATGAAAATATCATCTGAACTGTACAGGTACAGGAATGGAGTAGAAGTTGCTGCTTCTATGTTTAAATTGTTGGAAACAACATTAAACAAAGAAATTGAAGACATTAAAGACAAATTTGATACAGTAATAGAAAAGAAAGACAGTTCATGTGGCCAGAAAGTGTTCATAATATTTAGGCCTGGGATCAAAACTTCTGATATGTCTTCACATGCCACTGAAAGTTTCATCAATGCATTGCAGAATGCCTTTGCAATGTTAAGAGAAAAAGTCATCAGCTGGAAGCTTTCAGAAGATCAGAAGAAAATATTAAATTTGCTACTTAATGGAAAACAATGGGAAGGTCTGCGTGTAAAACTTAAGAAGGAGGAAGACAAACTCATCTTAAGTGGTTTACCAAAACATCTTTCTGCTGCTGAAAAGCACATTATAAAACTTCTTAACATTGAGGATTCAATACAAACTAAAAGTAGGACACCACTGTTCTCTGATCTCAGCTATCAAGAAGCTACAGGAGCATCTGAGAAGAAATACAATAGCAGGGAAAACAATAGTCTTTCTTCTGAAGGACACTCTAAGGCGAAGGCAGAAGACAACAAAGATGTGTGTCCGATTTGCATGGAGACAATTGAGAATAAAGAAATTCTGAGAAAGTGCAAGCATGCGTTCTGCAGAAGTTGCATCAAGCAGGCCATGACTTACAAGCAAGTGTGTCCTGTTTGTAACACCGTCTATGGAGTCGTGGAAGGAGACCAGCCAGAGGGAACAATGTCACATGTAAAGCTGGCTTCACCTCTCCCCGGTTATCCTGGTTGTGGTACTATTGAGATTAGATATAGTATGCAAGGAGGTATTCAAACCGTAAGTATATTTAAAGATTCATAAAAGATATTTTTCCCTGTCTTTAATTTGTACGGTGGGAATGACTGAACTGAAATCTAGGGAGTGATATCATGTAAATAAAATTTTGTGAGTATAATGAGGATTGTCTGAGACGTTCTCTTAGCTGCCCAGGCCAAGCGACAAAAATGAACAGCAGGCTGGCTTGTGAGCTTTCCAGGTGAGAAATCAGCTTTTGTTAAGTGCTTAGGGTCATGACTAGGACTGAAAACGGGATCAGTGAAAAAGCTGGGGGTGGGGTGACGTGTTTGGGAGAGCAAAGAGGAAAAACAAAGATAACAATGAGTTAATGATGCATGAGTGATGACAAGAAAATGTGAACGAAACTTACATGAAAGAAATTATCTAATGAGAAAAAACCTCAAAATCAGTCATCAGTCATGCTGAATGAATCAAAGACAGGATAAAAAGTATTGTGAAAGCTGGGATCTGTGATTTTCACGCTTTTCAAAGCATTTATGATGTACAGTGTGATTTGGTTTTGTTTTTCTACAAAACAGAGCAACCATCCAAACCCAGGGAAACCCTATGGTTCAATTAGGCGAACGGCGTATTTACCTGACAACAAGGAAGGGCAAGAAATTCTGCAGCTTCTCAAAAGAGCCTTTAAGCAAAAGCTGATTTTCACAGTGGGGCACTCACGTACTACTGGTGCAGGAGATGTGATTACATGGAATGACATTCACCACAAAACTTCCATAGATGGAGGACCTACCAAGTAAGTAGTCTTCTTTTTAAGTAATTTTATTGCTACTCAGATGTGTCAGGAAGGCTACCCTGTGAACATTTCCCACGTTGGAGCTTTCAGATTTTGTCACTATCAAAGCAATTGGGGAATGTTCTGTGGATCCAGGCTTGAATCACCTTCACCAATTTGGACAGTTGGAACAAGGGTGAGCTTAGTCTTCTGCTGCCTCTCAGGCCACTCGTTCACCAGTGAGTTGTGTAAAGCAGCTACTCAGTTAATAGCAGCTCTGATGAGAAACTGCTTCTAATACAGGACAGGACAGCAAGCTCTTAATAGCAGCTAAGGATGGACTCCTGATCTCAGCCCCTTCTCTTACTCTTGGAGGTGCTGGTCCACTATGATCCCCGTAAAGACAGCACTCAGACTCCGTAAAATACGATTCGAAATTCTATTTATTAGAGCACACAGCAAGAAGAAAGAGATTGTGCTATAGATATGGTTATGTCCCTTTAGATGTGAGGAGCCCCAGCTTGCGCAGCACTCGGTGCCTCCAATCAGAGCACAGGACACTGTGCTGACCCCGTCCATACAAAGGGTTACCCCATTTTGGTCGTTTGAGCTATTACAGGATTTTCTTAGCAGCAAACAACTCTGTTCAGCACTTCTTGAGGACTTGTTGCCCTTCTAGATAAAGGCAAGGACACGCAGGTGGCGTAATCATGGGCAGGGAGTGGGAGCTGCCGGCAGGATGTGCACAGCCCACCACAGGCCTGAAGGCCATGCTGCACGTCCAGCACGGAACAGGTCTGGGTCTGCCCCAGCTAACTGGTACGGGGATCACTTAATTCCTCAGTGTATAGTGGTCTTCTGGTCAGGATCAATGCGTTCCACCCCCTGATACACATGCAATAAACCATTCTTAAACATACAATTAACTACAGATTATATCAGTAAACTGCTTGGCTTCTGGAAGTAATCTTACAGAGACAAGAGTGGGCTTGGAACAGAACTTTTGAGCTTGGAACAGAGCTTTTTGAGCCTCCCAGGGGCAGGTGTCTTCCTGCAGGCTCTCAAGATCGGTGTCTCCATCCTCCTTCCTGGGCTAGGATCATAAAAGAGCTTTGCTTTCAGAAGAGTTTTACTTTATCACCCCCCATGCCAGCCCCTGCCCAAATATTCTCCCTAGTTATCAATTGCTTTGTACACACTTTTGGTGATGCACTGCTTAAAATCCAGAGGTGCCATTATATTTGTGTTTCGAATGCTTGCTTGGACACGCCTCAGGTGTGATGTTAAGAAGGACATGTACCCAGGTGCCCCATCATTTTCCAGTGAGACAGGAGGCAGCTTTTGAAAAATCAAGTTCTTAGCACCAGTTTGGACAAGCAAATTCAGCAGCTCCTTTGCATAAGTTTTTAGCTTTACCCTGTCCATACCCCCTCTCTGACCTGCAAAATAGGGTCTGTTTTCTCTGTGCATTAAGAACTATGTGCATCAAATTTGTAAAGTCTTTTAAGAGACTTTGATCAGAAGGTTCTGTATAACTGCCAAGTGCTTCATTGCAGAAGTAGCCCAAACAATTCTTTTCTTTCTCTCCTAGCTTTGGTTACCCCGATCCTGATTATCTGCAGCGGGTTCGATCAGAATTGAAAGCAAGAGGAATTGAATGAAGAAGTTTATCAACCATCAGCTCCTAAGTGTAATAACACATAGCAGTTAATTTACTATTCAAACACGAAGAAGAAAGAATTCATTTTGTTCAACTGCTGTACTTAAATCACTTGTATTTCACAGTCAGCTAAGGAATATTTTTCCATCAAATGATATATGTTCTTTTTGCATATCATTTAGTTCACTGAATAATGCTTCACTCCATCAGTAACCTTTCCAGACTTTGTGAGTGCAGCATCAGTGCTTGTTGCACTTGTCGAATATCAGATTGTGTATTTTATTTTACTAGTGAACCTGATCTGTGCTTTTTTGGACCACCAAAACCGATAGATCCACTACTAGTTTTTATTTGACCAAACACTGACTTTAGCTTTGTGTAATTAGGTCTGTCATCATGGATATAGCATCATGTAACCCACCTTCTGGAAATGTTTTATGCGGTTATTATAGAATCAGCTGCGATGAGGCTGTGATCTTTTGCTTCTTTTTCAGGGCAGAAATGGCATTAATGGTTTGTGCTTTAAACATGGAAGTGGCGGGGATAGTGTTTGAGGGGTTCAGGTGGGTGCTGCTGGGTTTTTAACCCCGCAAAAGTGCTGAGTGCTCAGAGCTGCGTTGGAGTAAAGGGAAAGTAACAGTGCCTTTGGCCAGCTCTGGCAACGGGATCCTAGTTGTGTGCCTTTCGTTGTATTTAAGCTTTTAAGTCAACTGTATTCTTCCCATTGCTTCCAATAGATAGCTTAAATTGTATTATAAAGATACCTTGTTGCTATTCTGCACTGTCGAAATAGCCTGCTAACTACCTTTGTGGTAGAGTGAAACAAATAGCTTTTATCTAATGCAGTCATAATTTTTAGTGAGTTAAATAATTTCTGTTAGGCTATTGAATCTAACTAATAAATAAAATATAAAACCACCATCTGCTTAGTTCTGCATTCTTCTGTACAGGTTTTTCCTCCTGTTTTAGATAGCTATAGCTGTATATTTTTTTTTAATTTAGGAGCTTCCCAGCAACGCCATGATTTGGGGTGATTTGGACCCCGTGCCACATTCTTTTCCTTATTTTCTTATTCAAGATTCCCACATTGTGACTAGGCAGTGCTACTTTACCACCCTGACTTTCAGATTTCATAGTGCTGGGCACTGTTTGCTTTCCATGTGGGCTGGGACACCTTTCCTGCTGTGGTTTTTGTTTTACTGGATTTGTTTTCACGTTTTACACTATTTCAAATTCCTCTCCCCCCCCTTCCTTTTCTGTGCAATAAGATACCAACGCTGCAGTGGTTTCTAAATGACCATGCTTTTCTGCACACTGAAACAAGCCTATGAAGATTGAATCTACCCAACTTCTTCTGACCTCTCATTTCACTTGCTGCCCCAACGAGCCACTTACAGAATCACATGGGGTTGGAAGGGACCTCTGGAGATCATCTAGTCCAACCCCCCTGCCAGAGCAGGTCCACACAGAGCAGGTTGTGCAGGAACATGTCCAGGTGGCTTTTGAATGTCTCCAGAGAAGGAGACTCCACCACCTCTCTGGGCAGCCTGTTCCAGGGCTCTGCCACCCTCAAAGTAAAGAAGTTCCTCCTCTTGTTTAAGTGGAACTTATTATATTTAAGTTTGTGCCCGTTTCCTCTTGTCCAGTCACTGGGCACCACTGAAAAAAGACCGTCCCTGTCCTCTTGACACCCACCCTTTAAGTATTTAAGCGTTGATCAGATCCCCCCTCAGTCTTCTCCAGGCTAAAAAGACCCAAGTCCCCCAGCTTCTCCTCGTAAGGGAGATGCTCCAGGCCCCTAACCATCTTTGTAGCTCTCTGCTGTACCCTCTCCAGCAGTTCCCTGTCCTTCTTGAACTGGGGAGCCCAGAACCGGACACAGTATTCCAGATGGGGCCTCACCAGGGCAGAGTAGAGGGGCAGGATAACCTCTCTCAAGCTGCTGGTCACACTCTTCCTGATGGCATTGGCCTTCTTGGACACAAGGCCACATTGTCAGCTCATAGTCATCCTATTGCCCACCAGGACTCCTGGGCCTTTCTCCTCAGAGGTGCTCTCCAACAAGTCAGCCCCCAACCTGTACTGGTGCATGGGGTTATTTCTCCCCAGGTGCAGCACCCTGCACCAGTTCAGCGACGTCAGACACCCCACCACCTGAGAGTTCACCCTTTCCCCTGTCACCTGGGGCAGGGTTTTGGGGACTGAGTTTTGGAGCAGAGCCCTACTGACTGTCACGGAAAGCTCCCAAGCCTTTGCCCTATAATCGGTTGCAACAGACCTTTGCTTTCTAATCACAGCTGTGCAGTTGAGGAATAAATCCACCTGATTTAGAGACTTTAACCTACCAGATACCAGCTGGGCACATGATATGGCTGAGAAGGAACAGTCTAGGAGGTTCCTGGAACGTGTCAGGGATAACTTCCTGACATAGCTGGTGAGGGAACCAACCTGGGAGAGAGCACTGCTGGATCTGCTGCTTGTGAATAGAGAAGGACTTGTGGGGGATGTGAAGGTTGAAGGCTGTCTTGGGCACAGCGACCATGGCATGTTCTCAGTTCTCAGGGAAGCGAGGAGGGGAGCCAGCAGGACTGCCACCATGAACTTACGGAGAGCATAGCTGGTGAGGGAACCAACCTGGGAGAGAGCACTGCTGGATCTGCTGCTTGTGAATAGAGAAGGACTTGTGGGGGATGTGAAGGTTGAAGGCTGTCTTGGGCACAGCGACCGTGGCATGTTCTCAGTTCTCAGGGAAGCGAGGAGGGGAGCCAGCAGGACTGCCACCATGAACTTACGGAGAGCAGACTTTGGTCTTTTCAAGAGCCTGCTTGACGGAGTCCCTTGGGAGGCAGCCCTGAAGGGCAAAGGAGCCCAGGAAGGCTGGACCTTTATTCAAGGAAGAAGTCTTAAAAGCGCAGGAGCAGGCCGTCCCTCTGCGCTGTAAAGTGAGCCCACAGGAGAAGAGACCAGCTTGGCTGAACAAAGAGATAAGGTCACAGTTCAGGGAAAACAGCAGAGTTTATGGCCTTTGGAAGAAGGGGCAGGCCACTCGGGAAGATTAGCAAGGTGTGGTAAGGTGTGGTAGGGCTATGCAGAGAAAAGATTCGAAAGGCCAAAGCCCAACTAGAGCTTACCTGGTCTTGGATGTTAAAAACAAGCTGGAACATAGGAAGTTCCACTCAAATATGAGGAAGAACTTCTTTCCAGTGAGGGTGCTGAAGCCCTGGAACAGGCTGCCCAGGGAGGTCGTGGAGTTGGCTGGATACAGTCCTGAGTAATGTGCTCTGGGCAACCCTGCTTTGGCAGGGGAGTTGGACTAGATGATCTCTAGAAGGTCCCTTCCAACTCCAACAATTCAGTGATTCTGTGATTCTATAAATATATTAGTAACAAAAGGAGAACTCAGGACAATCTCTGACCTCCATTGGATGAAGGAGGTAACATAGTGACAGAGGATAAGGAGAAGGCTGAGGTACTTAATGCCTTCTTTGCCTCCGTCTTTAGGAGCAGAGTAGGTTGCTCCCTGAGCACCCAGACCCCTGAACAGGGGCAGGGAGCAGAATGAAGCCCCCATCATCCAAAGGGAGGTGGTGAGGGACCTGCTCCAACACCTAGATACAAACAACCAGGTGGCATCCACCCGAGGACACTGAGGGAGCTGGCGCAAGTGCTCACTGAGCCACTCTCCATCATTTACCAGCAGTCCTGGCAAACCGGGGAGGTCCCAGCCAACAAGAAGGGTGATCCTGTGATGTGGAAGGACATAATTAAGTTTAATTAATTAAATTAATTAATTAACATTAAGTAATGTCTCCCCTATGAGGACAGGCTGAGAGAGCTGGGGTTGTTCAGCCTGGAGAAGAGAAGGCTCCAGGGAGACCTCAGAGCAGCCTTCCAATATCTGAAGGGAGCTACAGGAGAGCTGGAGAGGGACTGAGCAGAGTAGGTTGCTCCCTGAGCACCCAGACCCCTGAACAGGGGCAGGGAGCAGAATGAAGCCCCCATCATCCAAAGGGAGGTGGTGAGGGACCTGCTCCAACACCTAGATACAAACAACCAGGTGGCATCCACCCGAGGACACTGAGGGAGCTGGCGCAAGTGCTCACTGAGCCACTCTCCATCATTTACCAGCAGTCCTGGCAAACCGGGGAGGTCCCAGCCAACAAGAAGGGTGATCCTGTGATGTGGAAGGACATAATTAAGTTTAATTAATTAAATTAATTAATTAACATTAAGTAATGTCTCCCCTATGAGGACAGGCTGAGAGAGCTGGGGTTGTTCAGCCTGGAGAAGAGAAGGCTCCAGGGAGACCTCAGAGCAGCCTTCCAATATCTGAAGGGAGCTACAGGAGAGCTGGAGAGGGACTCTTTGTCAGGAAGTGCAGTGACAGGACAAGGGGTAACGGTTTTACATTGGAAGAGGGGAGATTTAGATTAGATACCAGAAAGAAATTCTTTACAGTGAGGGTGGTGAGGCACTGGAACAGGTTGCCCAGGGAAATTGTGGCTGCCCCATCCCTGGAAGTGTTCAAGGCCAGGCTGGATGGGGCTTTGAGCAACCTGCTCTAGTGGGAGGTGTCCCTGCCCATGGCAGGGGAATTGGAACTCGATGATCTTTAATGTCCCTTCCAACTCTAACCATTCTGTGATTCTGTGAATTGTTTCTGCATCTAGTCCAGGTGCAAGAGGCCCAATTGAGTTCTAATTTCAGGAGCTCAGCTGGAGTTCAGCCAAATTTCTGTTAGAAATGGATACAGAGCCCTCATGTAACTTTTAAACCACATTCTTGTGGCATCGGTTGGGTGGGTGGGGGTGGATTTTTCATGTATCTGTCTCATATTGGGGCACATCAGTAAAACATGCAGCGAGACACAGCTGAAAAGGGTGAGGGGATGTCAGCTGCTCCCAGGAGAATCCTCCTCCAGCACAGCGCAGTCCGAGGAGCCTTCCTGAGGGAGGGCGAGGGGAACGGGCCATTTCCCTTCCTGTGGCGGCCGGAGCTCGGCGGCCCGAGGCGGGGAGAAGGAGGGCCATCCCGTGTGGGGCCTCAACATCTGCACCTCGGGCAGCGAAAAAATAAACCAGCCGTGTCTGTGTGGAGCGGGGAGGAGGGTGGCGGTGGCGGGGCGGAGCTCTCCGCCGCTCTCCCCGACCGAGAAATGAAACCGAAAGAGATAGGGAAGGAGCAGAGGGAGGGAGGGGGAGGGTGAAGGTGAGGCAGGGCCGGGACGGCGGCCATGGCGGGGCAGCGGCCGGGCAGTTTCCCGCTGCTGGTGCGCGGCGACTGGGGCGCCGCCGAGGCCTCGCCCGCCCTGAGGAAGAAGCTGCTCTGCTACTTCCAGAGCCAGCGGCGCTCGGGGGGCGGCGAGTGCGAGTTGCGCGCCAGGAGCGGAATCGGGACAAGGGGGGACCTCCTCGTCTACTTCGCCCAGCCCGAGGGTGAGCGGCCGGGGCGGGGGG